CTCGCCTCAGCGCTGCGCGGGCCGTGCGTGTGGTGCCTGCGCGCCACCGGGTCGCAGCCCTCGGCGGGTGGGGGCCACCGGCCGGAGGAGCTGCCCCGAGCCTTCGACCCGTCGCTGCTGGAGTTCCTGGTGTGTCCTCTCTCCAAGAAGCCGCTCCGGTGAGACTCGCGGGCCTCGGCCCTTCTCGGCGCCGGGTGCGGCTCCCGCGCTGCCATTTCCGGGACGCGGCCCGGCGGCGGCGGGAGCCCGCCGGGATCAAGTCACCCGGCCCATAAACAGGTTCAGACGGTTTTGGGGGTTCGCCCCCGTTGGCTCCGCTTGTCAGGCTCCCGGGGCCTTGTTTTAAGATGTCAGTTCCGACACCGAGGTGGTGGCCCCTTCTGTCATCCCAGCCGCGGGAGAGGCGGAGATTGGGAGGATCGCGGTGGGAGGCCAGCTTGCCCAGCCAGGCGACACAGGTCTCGAAGGTGACCGGAGCAGAAGTATCCGGGACGTGGTTCAAATGATAGGGCACCTGGTTTTGCAACGTTGAGCTCAAAGCGCGAGCCATCCGCCCCCCCCCCCCGGAATAAAATGCCCACCTGGGCACCGAGCCCCCTCCCTGGCTCCTGGGCGCACGGTACCGGCGCCTGTGGGCCAGGCCGTGACTTTGGTATTTCCTTAAAACGCCTGAGCGGCTGTGTGAGCACAGGGCCGGGCCACAGCGTGCACGTCTTTGAGCCAAGATGGTAGGAAACGAGACGCGCCCCGGACCGTTCAGCGGAGGCCTGGCAGTCTAAGCCTTTGCCCATTGGCTCCCAGTTGCAGGCCCGCCGAGTCTTGTAAACGCTGCTTTTAACCTTTTGCCTACTTGTTGGGCACACAGCGGGTTCCAGACTACTGAAACTGGGTTATCAGCACCACTAGAATAATCCACCGTGTCTACAGCGAAGATTATCATTGGCTATCTTTGGGTAGTGGATTGCTGGCCGCCTCCACTCTGAGAGCCAGTTTCCTTCAAGATGTCATTGCCATTTGGATTCACCTTCTAACTAATCGTGTAACTCGTCCAGACCACCGCGTTCCCAGAGATGCCTCATCTCCGCGCTCATCTTTCTCAAGCCTGTATTGTGCATGTGTGGTTTCCCTCTGCTGAGTTCCGAGTCTAGCTATTTAGTATTTAGCCTTACTTTAAAAGGAGTTTGAGGAATTTTTCTTTAGGTTTTGTTCTAGGAGTAACTGGAGTGGATTTGTGGTTGAATGAAGTTACAAATATTTAGGTAAAGAGAGGAGAAATCTTTTCTGCCTGGTATAAAAAAATACATTTAAGGTATAACTTGGGAGTAAAATAAGAGAGATTACTTTACACCTGTAATCTTGGCTACTTAGGATGAGTTCTGCCAGCCTGGGCAGACAAATGTGAGATTCTTATTTCCAATAACCAACAAAAAGTAGGAAGTGGAGCTGTGGTTCAAGTGATAGAATGCAGAAGCTAAGAGAATAAGGCCCTGCGTTCAAGCCCCAGTATCAACACACACAATAACTAAAAAAGATACTAAAAGAAACAATTACAATTTCTAAGATATTTTGGAGAGAAATGTATGAATTCATTATTGCTTTTGGAATTAAGAAAAGAGTAACTGAAGAATTAGATAAGGTGGTGTTATTTATTGACCAATTAATTTTTTTTCTCCAATTCATTTTGGTTTTTCCCTCACTTAGATATGAAGCATCAACAAACGAATTGATTAATGAAGACTTGGGAATAGCCTATCCAATCATTGATGGGATTCCTAATATGATACCCCAGGCAGCCAGAACAACACGTGAACATAAGAAGCAAGAAGAAATGGAGCAGCACTAAGATGATAATTTAAAAACAAAAACACGTATAACACTCCCCTAAATCTTCTAAATACACCTTTTAAAACAGGGTGTCAGGCTAGGTGGGGAGAATGTTTGTGTCTCTGCCCACCCTGACTGTTCTTATCCCACTGATCTCTTTAGTAGGACTATTCTACTCTGCGTCTGTAGAAGACGACTTCCCTCATGGCTGCACCAGCACAGCCAGCCTCTGCTTTTACAGTCTGCTCTTGCCCATCACCATACCAGTGTATGTGTTTTTCCACCTTTGGACCTGGATGGGCATTAAACTCTTCAGGCATAATTAGTGCAACCAGCCAAGAGTGGAGATATTGATAGGTCTTAAGTATCCAGCTCTGGAAATACTGGAGACCCATTTGGTTTGAGAGAAAGTTGCTTTGCTTTCTCTCAGACTTAGGACTCTAGAAAGCTTACTAGGCCACAGCTTCTTTGTACTTCAGTTTTGCCCTTGTGTTTGAAGATTCTGACTGTATAAAGAAACATTTCAGCAGAATGCCCTGATGGAGAGTAAAACTGCCAGTGGTCACCTAATGGCGCACATAAGTCACTTGGAGTTTTAACTTCGAGGTGCATAATAATGCCATCTATTGGAGCTGTACTGTAGTACTGTACTGTAGAGAAATAAATTAGAACTAGTGTGACATAAAATTAAGAACTGTGAAGTTCATATAGAATCTGAGTTTGTAAAATTACCCGTATTTCTTTGGTATCAAATGCTTACTAATAAACTGTTAATTTTTTGCCCATGAAAAGCTCTTTGTGAAAAGTTTGGGGGTTTTGTCACAAGAGTATGATCCTAAACTAGGAAAATTGTGAAAAGTACTCTAAATGAAAAATATGTACCATGTTTATAGAGACCCTGAATACACATACAGCCATTTCCCAGGAAATCATAGCTTTGGTAGGTAAAGTAGGGTAGGACAGGTAGAAGCTGATTTGGGGGTAGGCTGTGTGTGTGCATGCTGGTGGCAGCATAATTTATTCGTAATAGCCCTTATAAAATGGTAACCCCAAAGTCCCATCGATGGTGGATGAAATATGCCATACAGCAACAAAATGCTACTGGACAATATGAAGGAATGACTGAGAGATGCTACAACAAATGCTAAGGGGGAAAAACCCACAAGAAACTGTTCAATGGTGGGGGCGCAGGACAGGTTGATTGGGACATTTGTTTCCATATAGAAATGTCACAATGAAACTTCCTCACAGAACTAATGTGTGCTAATAAAACTATGTATAGATGAGAGCCCCTGGCTTATGGCCTATACTAGCTACGTCAGAGTCAGATCTGAGCATCATGGTTCGAAGCCAGCCTGGGCAGGGAAGAGTATGAGACTTAATCACCAAAAAAGCTAGAAGTGGAGCTGTGGCTCAAGTGGGAGTGCAGTAGCCTTGAGCGAAAAAGCTCAGGCAGCACCCAAGCCCCGAGTTCAAGCTCCAGGACTGGCACAAATTAAAGGGGAAAAACTATAAAAGATACCATCCACATGAAATGTCCTTAACAGGGAAATCCTGTTCATTAAAACCTGTTAATGTATTCATATAAAGGCATAAATATATTAATGGTTATCTAGGTGCCAGAGGTTAAGGATAATGTGGAGCTAAAGAGTACAGGGCTTCTTTTTGTGGGTATGTTCTAACATTGTATGCTAATATGATTCTAGGAATATACTAAAAGCCAGAGTTGTACAATTTACAGGACCAAGGCACAGTTGTGCCTGTACCCATGTGAGATGCATCCCAGGGCCCACACTGGATTCCTAACACTTGTGGACAGTCCTAAACTTCAGCAGAGATAGGATATGCTATCCACTTTCTGGTCTATATGCACCTGATAGCTTATGAATTAGGCACAGTAACAGAACAATTACAAATAAAATGCAACAATTTTAACATTACATGTAATGAAATTTATACAAATGTGGTCTCTAAAGAGTCAATGACTAATATTTCTGGGCCACTGTTGACAACAGGCAACAAAACCATAGGAACCGAAAACACAGATGATAGACCACTTGTGTTTCACTTTTGACCATACTCTAGTCAGCAGACAAGTCTTGGGCTTTTTTCCTCAAGTTTTATTGAGTTATAATCGGCATATTCAGTGATCTATCAAATTTTCACCACCACGTATCTGCCTTGACACTTTTAAGGTATCCAGTAATCCTGGGTTTTGGTGTTCTTCCAAGTTCTAAGCCATCCTGGCTCCCTGGTTCCTTTATAGTTGTGGTGTGCCCACCACCCTGACACTGGCTCCACTACCTCCAATTGATGCAGAGGCCCCCATGAGGAACACTTTCTTATACCACCATGGAGGCTGACTTTACAAGGCCAGGGACCCTGGCTTCTTGAGCCTCAGAACACACTTCTAAGCATCCTTACCAGTGTGACTCCAAGTGATTATCTCAGTCACCCTAATAAGATCCTTCTGCTCTGTGAGAACTTCCCAACTGGGGGAACAAAAGAGAACCCCTCATACCTATTCCTCACCTTCAATCTCACAAAGGGGGCTTTCAGGGCTGCGAATGTGACTGGGTGGTAGAGTGCTTGCCTTGCATGCATGAAGCCATGGGTTTGATTCCTCAGTACCACATAAACAGAAAAAAGCCTGAAGTGGTGCTGTGGCTCAAGTGGTAGATCACTAGCCATGTGCCAAAGAAGCTTAGAGACAGTGCCCAGATTGAGTTCAAGCCCCTTGACAGACAAAAAAAAACACCAAAACAAAAAAGGGGGGCTTTCAGTCTAATAGGAAATGAGGCCTACTTCAGAGGAGTTTTAAGTGATGCCAAAAATATGAAATTAGCATAGTTAAGTCTTGTCTTACTGCTTTCCAGTGAGAGATGCCTGTCCCCTTGCCCAAGTTTTATAAAATTGACCATTAGTGAAATTTGAAAGAAATTTGAAGGAGGTTGTCCTAGAGACCACTAGATGGCACTTAGGGCTTGCTTATCAGTCCAGACAACCAAGGGATCAAAATGGAGCCAAACATTTTTCCACTGAGCTCAGTAAATACACTGTAAAACATACAAACCAACCATAAGCATATATACATAGTGCATAAAAAATCTACATATGGATATAGCTATTTCTCGCAGGTAAATTCAAAGGAATGGAATAACTGGTTCAGATAGTTGGGATAGTATCTTTCTTAGACAACTGTCAGATTTCAGTATACAGTTGTTTTTAAGATACTAAGATCGCTGTATCGCGGCGCACGCACAATTCCAGCCCTGAGGAGGCAGAGGCAGGAGAACCACAAGTTCAAAACCAGATTGAGCTACATGACAAATGCAAGGCAAACCTGAGATATATAAGGAAACTCTCAGAAGTTATCTGGAGGCAGCTCAGTGGCAGAGTGCATGTCTAGCATGCCTGAGGTGCAAGGCTCTATCTCATCAACACACACACAGCTGGATATGCAAGCCCAGCATGGAAGATCAAGAGTTCCAGACCAGGGCTGGGAAGGTGGCTCAGTGGTAGAGCGCTTGCCTTGCATGCCTGAGAACCTGGGTTCGATTCCTCAGCACCACATAAGCAAAAAGAAAAAAGCTGGAAGTGGCGCTGTGGCTCAAGTGGTAGAGTGCTAGCCTTGAGCTGAAGAGCTGAGGGACAGCGCCCAGGCCCAGAGTAGGCCCACGACCGTACCCAAAAAAAAAAAAAAAAAAAAGAGTTCCAGACCAGTCTTGGGGTTTATTAGCAAAAAAAAAAAAAAAATCTTGGAAGCCAAATAAATGGTCTCCATTTAGGCCAAAGAAAGCAAATATTTGTATGGGAAATTTATAGAAATATGTAGTATATATTCATAAAATATACAAAATATGTAAAAATATAGAAAATATTTGTTTCATAACCTTACACTTACTAAACAATTCAAACTGCAGATAAACACACTATATTAAGACTTACATGTTAACTTTCAATTTAATTTTATTAGAAACCAGAGTAAGAGTATGGTAGAAGGTCAGCCAAAGCCTCTGTTGCTGTTGATGGCTATCTGAAGTGCTTCTTCTACTCTTTCCATGGTAGAATACTTAGGGAGGTAGAGAAGACTAAAGCATGTTTGGGCTCTCATGGGATCTTTTTCATCCAAACTCTCAGGACAACAAAATGTTATTTTCATATCTTTTAAGTCTTTCCTTTGTAATCTGTCAGTTCCTGTAAGGAATACTGAAAAGAAGAATAAAATTTATCTTTTTCACAATGTAGATAAATCTGTTCATGTCTAACTTTCTTGAAGGCCTTTCTTGAAGTCAACAGTGCACTTAGGGTTGCTTTAGGACAACCTCAGTCAGTGGCTTCAAGCAGCCTGAAGTCTGGGTGAAGAATGAGTAGGACCTCTTATCCACAGGTGTTCTGTTCCAAGATCCCAATGGATCTCAAAATGTAGCAGACAACACCAAACTCCACCTATACACTGCTTTCTCAAACACATGCATACAGCTAGGGTAAACATCACTTTCCACTTCAGGAAGCACTGGTGGCTTCTTGGCTGGATTGCCAGAACCACCACTCCTGCCCTTTGGGGCAATAATTATGCAAAATAAGAATTATTTGAAAACAAGCCCTGTGATACCTCCATGATCAATTGTAACAGTGAGCTAGCCACAAGGCAACTAGTGAGCAGGTGGTGTACACAGCCTAGTCATGCTAACAGGATGATTCATACCACAGGTAGAACAGAATGGGATGGCACAAGACTTTATCACACTATTTAAGAACAGCACAGGCCCAGAGAGACACCAGGAAAAGTTTCCTCTCATGTGGAACAATTTATAAATGTGTAAGAAAAACTCAACCCAATTAAATAAGCACTAGGAAGTTGGTACTTGAAAGGTACAGAGGAGAAGATTAATTCTTCAAGAGGAGATTAATAAAGAGAGGAAGGAGGAACAATACAGTCATGATACTCAATCTTCATTCTATGAAATTTAAAAAATTGAAGGGTTGAATAGGGAAAAAGGATTCTATAAGGGGTGACATCAATCAAGATGCATTATATTCATAAACTGATTTGTTGAATGGCAACTACTTTGTACAAATACATATATATATATATACATAATATTTAAAGCTGTATGTTTAGAGCACCTAAAAAGCTAATATGCTATGGTAAGTGTTCTATATTTTGACCTTGGAAAATAGGCTTTGAAATGACATTTTTCTCTATGCGATGAATCTGTATCATTTTCTTCTATAAAAGCTGTATTCCCCATAAAATAACAGCATGCATTGAAAATTCGTAATATGTTTCTTACTGGCATGTTCTACTTCATGTTTTTGGACCATGGACCAACATGGTTAACTAAAATTACAAAGAGTAAAATTACAGGTAAGGGAAGATCACTCTATTAGATTCTTGTATAAGGAGTAAGCAGCCAAGAAAGAAGGCGCTTCTACTAAGTGTAAATGCTGTGTTGCATAGAAGGGAAAAAGGGCTCCAGCCTAGGATGTCTGAGGAAACTTCCAAGTGCTCATATCATGCTCCATTTCTAAGGAGAAAAAAGTTGAAAGAAGCAGGAGTGAGGTGAAGTTCAAGGCAGGGGAAGGAATGTCAGGAAAGCCCTGAGCCTCCTGAGAGTTGCTATGATTACAGGCACTGAGCCACTAGCATAACTGGCTTGTTGATTTTTTATGCTGCCTCAGAGAGGCCTTTTTGATTGCATTGGAAGTGACTTCCCCACTCATTGGTTGGAAATGCTGCCTATTTTAAAGGAGAATCTTATCCCTATAACACGAGATATATTCCTTGACATAATACTCACCAAGGAATTTTCTCTTTTCCTCCAGAGTCAGTTTGTGTAAAGCCTCCCAGAACATCACTATAGTGGGATGTGAATTACTGTATCCTCGGTCATAATTTGCATTCTAGAAAAAAAAAAGACATTTAGGGAATAGGAAGGCAAAGAAAAACTCATCAACTTGACCTTTAACATGACATACCTTTTCAAACATTTCCCAGTCATAATCTGTGTTTCCAATAATCACGTCCTTCAGTTCTTCAGGCTGGAAAAATTCTATTATCTCCTTGTTGCACACTTTATAAAATCCTCTCTGAAATTCTTCATAAATTTCCTTTACAGAGGTGTTGAAGATATAATCAATACACTTAGACACATAGTCTGTCCTTTAATGAAACAACAAAAAGAATGTTTACTGCAGTAATTTGAACAAAATGAACAATCAAAAAACTTCAATAACATTGGAGATTCACCCTGATATAACTTATTACAGTATAAACTGTATAATGTATGTCTGTCCATCTTCACACAATACATACCAGCTTCTCTGCCTTACTGAAAAGTGACAATGGGAATGAAAAATCAGAGCAACTAAAAGGAGCTCAGTGTATGCCAAATTTTTTTTAAATGTAATTTCAAGCCAGGTACCAATGGCTCACACCTGTAATCCTAGCTACTCAGGAGGCTGAGATCTAAGGACTGCAGTTCAAAACCAGCCCAGGCAATTAACCAACAGAAAACTAGAAGTGGTGCTGTGGCTTAAGTAGTAGAGCACTTGTCTTGAGGTGCAGAGCTCAGGGACAGCACCCACGCACAGACTGTAAGCCCCACAACTGACCAAAATAAAAAGTATGTAATTTCTCTTTGTACATACTTGTTAGTCTGGTTGACAGCTATGTATCTTCCATTAGGAATTAAGTCTACATCAGTTCTGTCCCAGTGTACCTGTAAACACAAATGAATTCAGATATCTCCCAAATAATTCTGAGCAATTATTACTAACAAAAAAAACACTTCATAGTACACCTCTTTTCCTATGGAATTTGTCATTTAGAAACCTAAACAATTCATAAAACAAACAAAAATAAAAACTGCCATTATAAGTGGAAACAGTTTTGAACTGTCCTAACTGATCATATTAATTGGAAAGTTACCACATTTCAGAATTTGTTTAGTGTATTAGATTAGCATAACTTTTCATCACTTCCTCCCACCCTATTGTCATTCCCTCACTTTGCAATGTGACTGTGTCACACTCTCATCAGACATGAGCTGGTAGGTCACACACCTGTAGTCCTAGCTACTTAGGGATGAGAACAGGAAGATTATGGTTCAAGGACAGTCTTGGAAGAGGTTTTCAAGACCCTTTCTCAATGGAAAGATACTGGGTATGATGGTATAAGTCTGTCATTCAGCTAGGGTGAGAATTTTGGACTAGGAAGATAGTGGTCGAGATTCAGGTCTGGGCAGAAAGTGAGATCTTATCTTAAAAATAAACAGTGAAAATCAGGGCTGGAGCTATGGCTTAACAGTAGAACACCTGCTAAGTAGCACCAGACCCTGACTTTAAACACTACTACTGGCAAACAAAATGATGAAGGGGCAAGACTTCATGTCTTTGGTAAGACGAAGTGAGCCTATTTAGGAAGACTGGCAAGAAAAGACAAGGAATGGATATGTATTAACATGTCACAATGTCCACTAAAAGGTAAAAAAAATAAAATACAAAGAAAATGGTGCAGTGTGAGTTTATCTCCATAGCTTTTGAATCCTTGTGAGTCAACACTATATGCTTTGGCTGATGGGTCTGCTAGAAGCACAAACTTGAATAGAAGCTTGTGTGCTGGACTTGCCATCCCTACACTCTTCGTAATCCTAAAAAACATCTCATGAACAAATCTCAGTAGGCCCGAGGAAGATTTCATGGGTAAGAAAACAGGTAATTCTAGCTGATACCTCACCAACCAAACAGCCTGCTAAATACCAGGTATGTGAGGCTACTGAGGCAAGTCACCCTGAAGGCAAACAGAATCAGAGTTGTTGCTTGAAGCCACTAAATTTGGATGTTGTTTCATAGTCAAATCCGATACATCAAGATCATGAGAAATGAGGAACAACAACCCTAGCATAATTTAGAAGCTTATACTGCTTTTCAAATAAAAGGTGATATATTTAGGTAAATAGATAAACATTAGTCAAAACCAAGACTGATTTGTCATCTGGTTTTAACTATTACTCACATTAAAATAGATGTAAAGTGTTTCTCCAAAATCACTGTTTTCATCTTCCAGAAGTGTTTGTAAACTCCTAAAGAAATAATTTTGTTTTTAAAGGTAATAGATATGATATTAGAACACTAAGATAACTGGGAAGTGCACTGCTATTTACAGGCATATCACAATATAGTACCTGTTTCTCTTTGTACATAAGGCCAGAGCTCAACTGTGAATATAAGACTTTAAGAAGTTTACCTACAGGCACTCCTTCTGACTCAGCTCTCTTAGATCCAACACCATTAACAGCTGGTATGGCTATTTCAATTTAAACCATACGTTAGTCTGTCAGTTTAATATATATGCCATTTTAAATATATATGCCATTTGTATTACTTCAGCTACTTTTTTGAATAATTTATTGACTTTAAAACTTGGTAGAAAAATGTTGCACAGAAGGCATATTAGCCAATTCTGAAAATATGTTACTAATTTTGTACCAGGTAGAAGCCTGTCATTTAATAAAAAGCAAATTTCTGGCCAGGCACTGATGGCTCACACCTGTAAACATAGCTACTCAGGAGGCTGAAATCTGAGGATCCTGGTTTGAAGCCAGCGTTGGCAGGAAAAGTCCATGAAACTATTATCTCCAATTAATCACAGAAAAAAAAAAAACAGTGAAAAACTAAAGAAAAAAAAGTGGCACTATGGCTCAAGTGATAAGAGCGCTAGCCTTGAGCAAAAAGGAGTTCAGGGACAGCATCCAAGCCCAGAGCTTGGCAATAAATAAGTAAACATCCAAGCCCAGAGCTTGGCAATAAATAAATAAACAAAAAAATACATACAAGAGCCGGGATCACGGTTCAGAGCCAGCCCAGGAAGGAGCGTCCATGAGATTCTTATCTCCAATAAGCCACTCAGAAAACCAGAAGTAGCGCTCTGTGGCTCAAGTGGTAGAGTGCTAGCCTTGAGCTGAAGAGCTGAGGGACAGCGCCAAGGCCCAGAGTCCAAGCCCCAGGACCAAAAACAAACAACAAACACACACAAACAAATAGGTCATGTCTGCCATCCTGGCTATTTGAAATTTGAGGATTGTGGATTGAAGTCAGCCTGAGCAGTAAAGTCTTATCTCCAATTAATTAATCAGCAAAAGGCCAGAAGTGGAACTTTGGCTCAAGCAATAGTGCCAGCCTTAAGAAAAAAGACCCAAGGGATAGTACCTAGGCCCTGAGTTCAAGTTCCAAAGTATTGACACATGCACACGCACACAACCCACACCCACATCAATTCTGGCCATATGTGAGGGTTCTTCATACCTGTAATCCCAGATATATAGGAAGTAAATGGGAGGATATCAGTTAAGTTCAGCCCAGATGTAAAAGTTACCAAGACCCTATCTCAAAAACAACCCAGAATGGTAACCCACACCTGTTATCCCAGAAACTTGAGAGACAAAAGTTGGAGGAGCATGGTTCAAGAATAGTTTGGGCAAAAGCATGAGACTCTACTGGAAAAACAAAACTACAGTGAAAAGGACCGGGGGCATGGTAGAGTACCTACCTAGTAAAGCCTGAGCCAGAATTCTCTTTCTAGTACTGACCTTCCCCCCTCATAAAAGAATAATACATTTCCACTTTAGAAATAGCTATCATAGGAAGTGGCGCTGTAGCTCAAGTGGTAGAGCGCTCGCCTTGCTGAGCTGAAGAGCTGAGGGACAGCGCCCAGGCCCAGAGTTCAAGCCCCACGACTCACAAAAAAAAAAAAAAGAAATAGCTATCATAAAACAACATTTAATATAAACATGACAACAGATTTTTGCATTAGGGTATAACATGAACTTTAGGTCTGACAGTTTCTACACACACACAAAATCAAAAGGTTATTTTAACTATAAAGATAGATTGGGGGAATAAACAATTTTAGAAACAAAATTGTTTAACAACTCTTTTTGCTGAAGTTAAAATTGTTTAAGTACCTAAAATACCAATGTCAAATGTAAAAAATATCATTGATTTATGTTTAAACATTTACTTAATTATATGTTAAAGTCCTTAAAAAAAAAGAGCATATTTACTTACTTCCCCATAACAGGACTAAGTTCTTTTAAATCTTCCAGTGATGGGGTTTTAGCCAAAAGCTTCTTAAAGAGTGCCAATGGGAAAGGGATGTTGGCAACATTGCAATTGAAAAGGGAAAGTCCACAGAGAACTCCAAACAAGAAATATCTCTTCACCTCAAATTTAGGCTGAAACAGAAAAATAACCTTCAGGTGTTAGGAATTCTCATTACTACAATGGGATGCTTATATCAAATAAATATTTTTGCCCCTTTCACACAAATTGCCAACCCCCCCCAAAAAAATTTCTGAGTTAAGAGCTTAACCACCCCCCAAAAATTCCTGAGTTAAGAGCTTATATTTGGTCATTAAATTGATTTAAACCCTGCCATAGTTTTAGTTGCTAAATAAGTAAAGTACAAATGGAGTAGAAACACAGCAGGCTTAGTAAAGCTTGGAAACTATAAAGTTTTCCCAATATTTTCCTCCATTGTATTTTCAAATTCATTGAAAAATAGAAAAAAGCAAAGATGTATGGCTAAGGAAAAAGGTTTTTTAATTCACACATTTCTTGTGTGAACATACAGACCTAGGGAAAAGTGCAAGGCACTGTTGGCTCATGCCTATAATCCAACCTATTCAGGAGGCTGAGATCAGAGGATCACAGTTCAATGCCAACCCAGAAAGAAAAGTCTGTGGGAGTCCTATCTCCAATTAACCAACAAAAAGCAGAAAGAGGAAGACTGGTTCAAGTAGTGCATCACCTTGAGTGAAAAACTTGAGTACCAGGCTCTGAGTTCAAGCCTCAGTATGGGCATAAAAATGAAAGAAAAAGGAAGAACATTATTGTATCAATAACTTCTCTGTTATGAAAAGTGTAGACTTAATTTTCTACAGTATGTGCTATATTGCTCTCTGTCACAAGATCATTTAAGAAAACATGACTTACATTGACAGGAAACCACATGTAGGAAGCCTCTTCAGGATAAACAAACATCCCATATTCTGGCCGGGTCATCTCTTCAAACAGACAGTAGAAGAACTCTGTTTTGACTCCTCCAAAGTCATATCCAATTTCTCCACTAAATGAAATCTAGGAGGAGAGCAAACTATCACTTCAGGCTCTGTACTGCTACTTATTAAGTGTCCTTCAATAGTAACAATTATAGACCCAAGTGTTTGGTAGGCACTGTGGTAAGTACCTTACTATTACCATACCTTATCTTTCCATTAATACTTTGCCTAGGAGCCTTCAAGAATTTAGGCAACTTTCCCAAATATGTACAATAGCTCCATGTTGTACTCTAGATTTAAGCTGTCCATCACACCTCAATGTCTATAAATCTTTACCACTAGTGACCTCAACTGACATCACTATCATAATCACCAACTCCATTACATATAATGAGAACAAACAGAAAATAAGGCAAATATAAGGATTTTCACAGGACTAGAAAAACCAAAGGCAGTGTAAGGTACTTATGGCCTGGCCTGTTCACTTGCTGAGGAAGTAGCATCTCCCTTTAACACCTTTAACACCTCCCCAGGAAGATTCTATTATAGCCCATCTTTCTCCTTCATTTTTGCCTTTCTTTTTTAAAGGCCTTCTCTTCAGTTTATACATGTTAAGGTCTCCTTTATTCACCAGGTTAAAAAAAAATGTTAAGTCTCAACACACTGCCTCCAATTCAATTTGGCTGCTACTATTCTAAGAAGCCCAACTCAGAGAATACAGATTAACTTCCAAATCCCCTCCTCCTAAATGGTCCCCAAGGAAGAAAAACTTGTGAATTTCCATTCCAAGGATGCTTTCCTCTCATCCTATCATATTGCTATTGCATAGTATTACCACTTCTGCATAGTATTACTGCTTCTGCTTACACTTCATTTTTTTCTCGATACAACTCTCTCTTGTGCAACATTTATAAAAAATGTTTTTCTTCTTTTCCCTATTAATACAATCCTAGAATTTTCTGTGGTTCTACCCTGGAACATCTGTCCTTTCTCTCTGCCTAGGAAGCTCTTCTTTCCTTTAAACATTACTATCTGCAGACATTAGCCTCCATGTCCATTCTTTCTTTCTCTCCTGATTGATAGGCATTTATTTCCAAAGGTGATCTCAAAATTCTACACGACACTCCACTAGTGCCCCTAAAGCTTCAGTAACCACCTTTATTTGCACACAAGCCTCTTCCATTCCCTAGAGATAAAAGTTTCAAACCTCTTGCAGTAAGAATCAAATCCTTACTCTTTCTCTTATTCAGACAAACAGCTGGCCTCACTAAGCCTCAGTTTTCCCACAAGATTCTCAGAAAGATGAAATGGAATAACATATGTGAAATGCCTGAGTCTGTACAATGTGAATGTTCTCTAAGTATCACTTGAATTAAAAAAAAAAACTTAAGAAACATTAAGAACTTTAAGACATTTTAAACTGTAAGAAACTTTCTTAAACTTTAATAAACTTAAGAAACTCAGGGCCTCTTCTACTAGTGTCATGCCAACCTCAGCATCAAATACAAAGTCTAGTGCCTGCTGGTTGGGTCCAAATCCTGATTGTTTCACTTACTGCTTACATTACCCCTGAGTGAGTTGCCTAATGGTCTCTGCCCTTTTTCTCCATCTGTAAAATGAAGGAAACTGAAACTCCCCTGCAGTGTTGCTGAAAGGGTTAAGCAAGGAAGTGTAAAGTACTCAGGACAGTTCTTGGCACCAGAAAGTATTCCATAGATCTAGCTGTTGTTACTACTCTATGTCAAATACATCCTAGAAAGTCAATTGAAAAAGTAGTTAAAACTACGGAATGTTCAACACATATCTACAATTTCATCCCCAAACAATTTTAGTCAATAAAGAGAAAGTTCTCTCTTCCACAAGGCAACCTGTGTTTGGGTTCTTGCATGAGAATAGACACACCCTAATTCTGTGATCATCTCATGGACATCTCTACCTGTAAGTGTTTTACTGAAACCTCTACAAGTGCATAGCAAACATAGCCTAAATTTAAGAGGATTTACCAGTCCTCTTACTCATACTCTCAACAAGGGGGACAGAGCAGACACACCACCCTAACTGTGCCAACCTTCTCATGGATACCCCTAACAAAGTATCTCAGTGATACCCTTAAAGTGGAGAGCAGACGTATCTTAACTCTAACTCTCTAAGATGACCCCTTCTTACTGACACCCTTACAAGGGAGAGACAGGAGACTTATCTTGACTCTGTATTGTCTAACACCCTCAACAAGCTGGAGTTTAGCCAAGATAGGTTAAAACTAAGGAGGTACTAGACTGTGTAGGGCCCAATACTGGTCCACCTACCTCACTAGGATAGGGGAGAACACCTGTCTCACCTGACGCTGCTTTAACCCAAAGGTTTGAGGTAAGGGACTACAGCTCCCACTTGAAACTTAAAAGTAACTAAGAAGTTAGAAAAAGCCTCCAACAGAATACTTTTGTGGCAAAAGGGAATCCTTTTCTAAAATCCTTTGACCTTTCCATGGTTTTCTTACCCCATAGCAAGAACATTAAATGAGTAATAGTTTACCCATAACTCCCTCCTGAGGTCTTCATTTTCAAATTGACTTAGTTGATTTAAAACATCCTCAACCAAGTGATTCCTTCTTATTCGAAGATTAAAAGTGGGCACCAAAGCGAATTCTGACTCTTCTTGTACCAAAATTCCTGCCAAACTCATACAAGCTCTTATTTTTCTCTCCTAGAAAAACAAAAATGTTTCGTTTTTGTCATCTGCCCTCTTTAAATAATTTATATTTAAATTTAAATAATTTATTATAAAGTGTGATATATTACCCAAACTAGGTGGGTGTGCAGGGAATTGAACAGAGTCTTAAACAAATGCTCTGCTACTGAGCTCCACCCCTAACTCCTTCACACTTTCAATTGTCTAATTTTAAGCCCAAACTCTTCTGCTATATAAACTGACTACCTCAGGTGGTAACAGTACCAAGAAGGAGTGACTGACTCTACACCTTCATTATTAAAGCCATCATCAGAGCATCAACCACTTAAGGCAGTCCAAATGTCAAGAATCCTTTGCCTCCTCTATTCCTGACATACTGGACCTAGTTCTAACCAAGCCCTTGAGCTAAATCTATTAATAAGACTAAAGGTTGCTGCTGCCAACATCAGATAAAGATCTTCTAAAGCAGACCAGTAGCCCAAAGTGTGTCCTTTGCTACTGAGGCCCTGATGTCTTAAGATTGAGCCAACTTGAGCTCTGACAGTCTGCGTGGCCTTCATTTGAGTATAGTATCTTTGAATGCCATAGTAAGTGGCATTTATCTGGTATGTTTCTGAAGATGGAACAAATAGGCAAACATACCTGTATTTTCAGAAGTGAATCTGCATACAGTAGTTTAATTTTCGACAGAATATTAAAAATAAATGGGAAGTGACTGAATATGATAGAATATTGTGCATTAGCTCCAGTGTCCTAAAATAGAAATGAAGAGGATTATGATAAAGCACAGAGAAACCTTATACCTTGTCTCATGGCCTTATTAAATCCCTTTAAGGTCTTCAGTACTTCCAACCAAAATAATTCAAATTGCTGGTCATTAGTACTAAACTAGTTAAACTGCAATTTGAGTTTTGCCTGTGTGAATTAGGGAGACTCACTTGGTAAGTTAGGAATGTAAAATGGATAGCTGGGTAGCTGGCTAGCCTATACACACTACCCAGGCAAGGGCTGATATGCTAGGAGTAGAATGGAAACCTTAAGGGAAAGGAAAAACACCTTAGACCAGCTACTTCACAGGAGCCCTTTATCAGTTAATCATGCTGGACTTACCCCATTTGTTTTCCAAGAGGATCTTCGATATGCTTCTCCATAAAAATTGAGCCATTCTGATAATTCATCTACTTCAAAAATATTTTCAGGCAGTTGAAATTTGTTCTGATTAACCTTAAATGAAGTATGACACTTTAGTTTTAAAGACAATTTTGCTTTATGATTGTTAGATGATCAAATTCAAAAGTTAAATGATTTTAATCACCCGGATATAAACTATCAATTGCCAATGACCAAACTTTTATGGATATAAAAATACTTCAGAGATTGATGGTGTGATAAACTTCTAGTCACTTGAAATTTATAGAAAAAAAACATTAAACAACTCTAAGTATAATGGCAAAAACCAGTGCAGTATAAAGCTAAAGTATTCTAGGGCCAATTCATCTTGATGTGTTAGACCTTAGAACTTTGCAATTTCCCATTTCAAAGTATTTGCTCTCACAAGGTAAGTGCAGGATATTCATGGAGGAATTTTCTAGCTTTGCTTTCCATCAGATGATCAAAATTATGATGCACCTACAATCATTCTGTTGTCAATCAGTGCAGGTACTGAACCACATATACACTCAATGGTAACTGACCTAGATGAGCAACATACCATTGAACTGTATTAGTTCTCAGGTGTTTAGAAAGCCCAGTGTGGCTGTGTACAGAGACTACTGGTCTATAATATTCTTACTGATAGTCACTCAAACCCAAGTGGATCCAGGGCTCCCAGCACTTTTACCTATAGACTCCCATCTCGCCCCCAAGCTCTCTGGAATACCTAAGAAAATGGATGTTTCTTCCTCATGGCTTCCTGAGACTCCCATTAAGAGCTGAGGACTTCAACAAATATCAAACTTTTTATTGCCCATAAAGAACAAAGCAGAATCCCAGAGGCTTTTTTAAAATTTGCACAATTCTAAGTGGCAATTCTAAGATACTTTCCTTGAACTCTTCAATTAATTTCCCAGCTTTAAAAACCCCAGATTATTTCCTGATTATCTTTTCTTTTTTGTACAAAACTTTGAAAACTAGTCATTATTTTTCAATAGTACATTATGCAGACTTATTTTTCTTGAGCAATATAGCAGATAAACCCTGATCCACTGGAGAAAAAAAACTGAAATATAGGAGAACATATAACGAACATTTTAAAGGTTACTACTGAGTTCATAAGTAGATATGCAATAATCAGGTAAAACACTAAGTGGGGTTGGGGATATGGTTTAATGGTAGAGTGCATGTCAAGACCATGGGTTCAAACCCCAGAATGGCAAAAACTAATTAATTATAACACCCTACACAAGTAAATGAAGCATTTGTCAAACCTGATAAACTTGAACTTCAATTTTTCAGTGGTTGGGACTTTGCAGCAAAAAGACAAAACCCACTCAAATAAGACCCCAAAGAGCTTAATCATCATGGTGAAGGAGACTAGAGTTAAATAAACTTTCATCTGTTGCTGATAGCTGACATCTGTAATCTTAAATACTTAGGAGGTTGAGATCTGAGAATCACAGTTCAAAGCCAGCTAGGCAGGAAAGTCAGTGGGACTCTTTATTCCCAATTATCTAGCAAAACATAAAAAATAAAAGGCACTTGAGCTATAGCTCAAGTAGTAAAGCAAGCATTAGACAAGTGAAAAAAGCTAAGGGATAGCAGTATCAGTATCAGCCCCTCCACACACCAAAAAAAATAAATAAATAAAAATCCCCCCACCAAAAAATCTTTTCTCCATCACTAATCCAATCCACCTCACCTTGGAAATTAGCAATGTATAAAGGTACATAGCTGGAAAAGAAGTGCCTATAGAATTTGAAATTACAAAAGAGCCCTCCCGCAAGTGTGCACACCTCCACCACTTGGAGAATTGAAAAGCTTCAAACCAAGAATTTCATTCTTTCTAGAAACCTGACAGAAATGAATTCTCCCAGAAGAAACCTAGCCACTGAGTTATTCTAAAAGACAATGTTTAAGAAAAATGAGAACTCATTCACAGATAATCACAAAACACCTCAGAAACTCTAGAAGCAAAGGATATGAGTTATGAAGACAACACGGGAGTGGTACAGCAACAGTAAAAGGGAGGATAGAAAAGAGAGGTGAGGGGCTGGGAAGGTGGCTCAGTGGTACAGTGCTTGCCTTGCATGCCTAAGGCCCTGGGTTCGATTCCCCAGCCCCACATAAGCAGAAAAAGCCGGAAGTAGCACTGTAGCTCAAGTGGTAGAGCGCTAGCCTTGAGCTGAAGAGCTAAGGGACAGTGCCCAGGCCCAGAGTTCAGGCCCCACGACCGGACACCTCCCCAAAAAAAAGAAAAAAAAAGAGGTGAGGGAAGAGGGGAAATGAAGAGGAGGAAAAGGAAACAGAGGGGAGGATAAAAAGAGGGGATGATAAATTGTAAATAATGACCAAGAATAAATAAGAATGCCAATGAATGAAAAACATTAATACTTAAAATGAAAAGTAAAAAGCAACTGTATGGCAAAACAAAACCACTGAAATAAGAACTGATAATGTGGAAGAGTGTGCTAAGGAAATCTGGAGTTGCATAGATAAAGAGATAGAAAATAAAGCAGGCTAACGAACCAGTAATAGAGAAGGTATAATTAGCCCTACACTCAGGATTATGGATACCTTTGGAGTTGTGGTGAGTGAGGGAGAAAAGAACAATCCATGGGATATACCAACATTTCAAAAGTACTACAAAATACTTTTCTTTTATAGATACACTGATGTTTTAATTCTTCTGTTATTTTTCTTCAGACTTTATATATAGGTATCATACAATCATCTCTCAGGATCTATGGGGGACTAATTCCAGAACAACCCTCATATCCAAGTCCAAACATTTATGCCCCTTACATAAAATGGCATAGATTTCCAAATAACCTAAATATACCAACCTATACACTTTAAACACCTAGATTACTTAACAATATTTATTGTAACAAAAATGTTGTGTTAGTAGTTGTTATAAGGAATAATGAAAAGGCAAGCATGTGTTCTACACAGATCCCACTACCATCTCCTCCCCTGCAGTATTGTCAATCCACTATTGATTCAATCCTTGGATGTGGAGCCTATGGAGAAAGGACAGTCAACTGTAAATCCCTTTATATGGATAATTCACACAAGAAATGTTTTCAAAACAGCAATAGCACCTACATGCATTTCATGAGCTGCTCAAGATTCAATCAAGTTGAAAGCAAGTGGACTTTTGTTGCTAAATCTATATGCAGAGGTTTTGTTTAGAACCCTTACCCTATGCAGCATTTTCAGTATTTCTAGGAGAGCTTTAAGGTGGCCGTTATTCACATCATTTTCAGCCCAGTAACGCAACTGAGCACCCAAGGCAGTTTTAAACATCTGCACCAGTTTGCTGAAAACAGACTCTTGTAGTGTGGTCCAGAGCATCTCTGAGGAATACAAAAAAGCCAAACAAAATTGTTAGGGAATAATTTCTTCTAGATTCTTCTATTTCCTCAAACTACTAATGCAGGATTTTAATATGCTGTAATTACAAATGCGTATCTGTCTCTTCAGAGAATAGTAATTTTTTTTTGTTGGTGGTGGGGCTTGAACTCTGGGCTTGGGCGCTATCCCTGGGCTCTTCAGCAAAAGGTGAGTGCTCTACAGCTTGAACCATAGACCTCTTCTGGTTTTCGAGTGGTTAATTGGAGATAAGAGTCTCATGGACTTTTCTGCCCAGGCTGGCTTTGAACTGTGAGCCTCAGATATCAGCCTCTTCAGTAGCTAGGGATTACAGACGTGAGCCTGGCACAACAGTGATTAATACACACATTCCCTGAGAGTTAAGAGAGCCACAAACTTGGAAAAAACAAAAATAGCACATGGTAAAAATTGTTTATGGGGCTGGGAAGGTAGCTCAGTGGTAGAGCGCTTGCCTTGCATGCCTGAGGCTCTGGGTTCGATTCCTCAGCACCACATAAGCAAAAAGAAAAAAGCCGGAAGTGGTGCTGTGGCTCAAGTGGTAGAGCGCTAGCCTTGAGCTGAAGAGCTGAGGGACAGCGCCCAGGCCCAGAGTTCAGGCCCTGTAACCGGACCCAAAAAAAAATGTTTATTACTTCAGTATTAATTTTGTGCTCCTAGCTTGTATTTTAAGGAATTATGATCACTTTTCTTATATATTAATAAATTCCATATTTTTGTTGAATACTAAAATGAGTGAATTCTCATGCCTTCAAATTTATATTCAAATGATTAAGTTTAAAAATGTAAAAAATGAGAGTACAAATGACTACATAACTGTTGGCCCTCAAGTGTAGGACACACGGGTAATCATCCACTATTCTTTCAACTTCTTGTTTGTAAAATTTTTCATAATGAAAAGTTGGGGACAAAGGAGCTCATCACCAAGCCATGCATATAATACCCTAAGAATTCTAAAAAAATATTAAATAATCTGCATTTGACATCCCCAGTAATTGTTAACAACATCTTTCCAGAATAGGCTAAGAATATGAGCTAAGAGATACAAAGCATTTTTTTTCTTTTTTTGGTCAGTTTTAGGGCTTGAACTCTGGGCATGGGTGCCCACCCTGAGCTCTTCAGCTCAAGGTGAGTGCTCTACCACCTGAGCCACAGCACCACTTCCAGTTTTCTGGTGGTTAATTGGAGAGAGGAGTTTCATGGACTTTCCTGCCCCAGCTGGCTTTGAACCACAATACTCAGATCTCAGCCTCCTGAGTAATTAGGATTATAGGTGTGAGCCATTGGCACCATGCTACAATGCATTTGTAAGTACCAATTTTTTTTCCTTAATTAGGAACTTCTGAAAAAAATGGACAAAGTATTTTCAACCATCAATCAATCTTACCCATAATTCTTAATGATTGGTCACTCATTTTACAAATAGCCTCGGCAAATGGTACTACTAGGTTCTCCCAGTAGTTAATATCATGCATCACAGGACATTGTGGGAGTAGCAAGAAAACTTCTAGTGCTTCTTGGTATGAAGAATGGAATGGCAAATTTTTTAGCAGATTGTCCTTAATACAGGCGATTATCTGTGGTCAGGAAGATCAGGGAAAATGATTTCAACAAAACAAGGTATACAACTTGGAGCTTGATTTCACCAGGAAATTAGAAGAATCATTTAGTTTTTCTGAAACAAATGTTGACAATCTATCTTTACCTAGCCTCCCAAATACTATTCCCCCATTCAGTTGCTAGGTACATGAAGATTAAGAGAAATGACAAAAGCAGAGGGACACTGGATGAGTGATGGATTCAGAACTATTGTAGCCCTCTCAATAATTAGTTCTATAATCTACCTTCTGGTTAGCATTACTTATTTTTTAAAGTAAAAAATGTATTAGAACTCAAGAAAGCAAAACAAAATAAATATTCAAATACAATAATTCCTTTTATCAGCTCATAGACCTACATGTCTCCCTCAATCACTGATTTGTAGATATTCTAGTCTTCTATAGTTTTACGAAGTCAGATTGAATTGAATCCTAAGTTGTTTGTGTGTGCTTCAAATGCAATTTGTTTAAAAACCCACCATGAAAAGAAGCTAGTATTTCTGGAGTACCTTATTAGACATTATATTCCAGCTTGGTCACTTAAGCTTTGAATATTCACTGCAACATAGATATTAGTCCTACTTTGATAGATGAGAAGTATCTTCTTCAAAAAAATTTTGCAAACTCCAATGTCCAAATTGTGTATGAGTGTATGTGTGTTATACTGGAACTTTTAACTCAAATCCTCTACCTCTCCTGGCTTTTTTGCTCAAGTCTGGTGCTCTACCACTTAAGCCACACCTCCATTATGGCTTTTGCTGGATAACTGTAGGTAAGTCTTGGGGATTTTTCTACTCAGGTTGGCTTCACACTAAGATCTTCATCTCAACCTCCCAAGTAGCTAGAATTACAGGCGTGTGCCACTAATACCCAGCTCCAATGTCTGAACTCTCAACCACTACATTACAAACTATCGGTTAAATTGACCATCTCCAAGTATAAATACTGTTATAATGATCACTTTATACACTGAAATACTACTGGACACCCACTATGAGGTTTACTTGGACTTAATATCTGACAACTTTATGTTAAGGTTTAAGGCACTTACCCTACCCACCTACTTGCTCATCAGCCAGTCTCACAATCCTCAAAACCATGGTAACACTCAACCAGTTTCACTGCTTTCCATACTGTTCCTTGAGGATACCTTTCAGGCTTCCTAGAAATCACTTCCATATAGTAGGAACCTGGTGAAGTCTACCTTCTGAGTCACCTTGTTTAGTGCTCTAAGTAAACCTAACCATTCAATACCCTACTAACAATTGATTTCACCAAAAAATACTTTATTATTTTTTTTTTGCCAACTCTGGGCCTGGGTACTGTCCCTCAGCTCTTCAGCTCAAGGCTAGCGCCCTACCTCTTGAGCCACAGCACCACATCTGGCTTTTTCTGCTTATGTGGTACCAAGGAATGGAACCCAGGGCCTCATGCATGCAAGGCAAGCACTCTACCACTGAGCCACCTTCCCAGTCCCTTAACTACATTCTAAGATAAACACTAGGGACAGTGATGAGATAAACACTAGGGACAGTGATATGTGAAACACATTCAGTCTTCAATATGTGCATTGTGTACACGTATGTAGGTATGACCTGCCCTCAACCATGAGTTTCTGAAGGGCAAGGAGCACTCAGCAAGTAACAAGTATTTAAATGTTTAGTCAATAAATAAGTCTAATAGTCCTCAGGACAGAATTTTAAGAGAGGAGTATCAGAGGTCTTCTAACCCCGCAATTCTCTTCTGAAACAGAGGTGAAAAAAATTCCTCTTTGTTATTTGCATTGTATTATTTTTTTTCCAGTACAACCAAGATGCAATCTTCAAGCAAAGCAACTCTCAGTGATGAGCTCAGGGACCTTCCCATGGCTGTATTCAGCAGCCCTTACTGAAACTAAGTTACAGACATTGACACTGAGAGGCCAACTAATCAAATAACAGAGAACAAATATGGCCAAAATACTTTGTGCAACAGTTCATATGTTAATGTTACAGGCACTTTAAAGAGCTGGAGCCCTGATAAAGGACTAGCTGGGCCTTCTTTCCCCCTAAACTTTCCTTACTCCCTTAAGAACAGTTTGATAAGGAAAAACTTGCCACTAAGCATTCAGATTGAGGCAAACAGAGCAGGCCAGAAGGGCGAGTAAGAGATGGGAACCAGACTAATGGGGACAAAGAATGAAGTACAGAAAAAAAAGAGGAAAGCCTTAAGAGTGAAAAAATTGGCATGAGAAATATCATCCCTATATCAACTAGAACAGCAGAGAAATGAGGTAAATAATGCTTAATCAAGAGAATAAACATGTTTTAAATGTGTGCAAGTAAGAAACTGAACAGTAACATCATTGAAACCAGAGTCAACAGCCCCAGAAAGAACAGGACTATTCTACAGAAAAATGGCCCAAAACAGAAAAGAAAGAATCCAGGAGGTCAAAGGTGAAAAAATAGTCCTATTAAAGTATGCTCATTTCTATATTTATGCTTAAAACAACTGCACATATAATGTTCATATGTTAGTGCCACAAACTTAAAAAATTTTTAAACAGTTTCTTAAAAGTCCTGAATTCTCTCTGTAATATGTAGTTATAGGTGTCTCTATGCATAGACACACTATATTATTTGTATCCTATGTGACTACTGCACCACTTTTACCAACCTAAATGGGCAAACTCCTGAATGTTATCTTAGTTTGATTTAATCTGGATAAACCAGTCTCTTAAGAGGAAGGATTTCTTCTGAAATTCTGGGTTCTTAGACAGTTCTAGTATACTCTTAAGAATACCACCGTGTTAATAATCCAGTCTTTTTGAGTTAATTCCTTAAAGGTGTTTCTTGCTTTACTTAAGTCCAGATAAACAGACATGGTTTCTGCAGTCAGTCTATAGAAGAAAAATAAATGCATAAGTAAATGAAAATGAATATTATCTAGATTTAGACCATGCTCCATTTTAATAAAGCTACTGTTTTCAACAAGAAAGCTACCTTGTTCTCAACAAGTTATTTTAATAACTGTAATAATTTGACTGAATACAAACAAATGAAAATATAGGTAGCATGCAATTATTTCTAAATGGAAAAGAAAACCCCAAAAGATGCATTACTTTTATTTTTGGTAGAACTGGAGTTTGAATTCAGGCTTTGAACTTCTAAAACCAGTGGTTTACAACTTAAGTCACAAAAAATAAAACAAAAGTTGTTTTTTTTTTGCTGGTTTTGTGACAGAATCTAACTTCTGTTGGAGTCTGGCCTCCAACTTGGACCTTTTCTGATCTTAGTATTCTGAGTAGTAGGATTACAGGTGGACCCATTAAGACTTCATTTATTATATATTCCTGAAGCCTTTGAGTCAAGATATGTTTTATCTAACATGGCTACTCAAGGACATAGGTATAGTTCAGGTACAGTACTTGCGTAGCATGCACAAGGCCTTGGGTTTGATTCCCAGCAAAATACATACACATCCCTTAAGGGAAGTATTTTTTCAGCAAGAAAAAAAAACAGAAAAATAAAGGTTTTTCCTGGTTCTAAAACCAAAATAGTCATTTCTCCAAGATACATGAAACAAAAGTAGGGACACCTCATGAAGAGGCTTCAGAGCAACCAATTCTTCACATTACAATAGAAATATTAAAATTAACCGTAACCTATGAATTACACTTGTGAACTTAATGGACATCCTGTTTAAAGATGGCATTATTTTTTGTAAAATGATAAAAGAATTCTTCCTGGACATGGTGACGTCCAAGAACACTTGTAATTCCAGCACTTGGGAGTCTGAGGCAGGAGAACCACAAGGTCAAGATCAGCTTAGGCTACACTTCTACTTCAAAAGTAAGTGAGTATGCCAACGTAAAGAATGCTTTTAGTGAAAGAAAACATTATACATATGTTTAGGAAATGAAGTATAAGTTTTTCTCTAATATTTAAAAATTCATAATGAGCTAGAGGTACAGAAGAGTGGTAGAGTACATGCTTGGGATACATGTGGCCCTTGATTCCCAGAACCCATTATGGTTTGGATATTAACATCCTCCAAAAAGACTCAAGAAATTGAAGGCTTGTTCTTAGATGAATGCGGTGTTGAGACATGGATCTTTGGGGAAGTGACTGGATCATGAAGGTTCTGCCTCTTCAATGAGTTAATGAACTTTAAATGATTAAACCATTGGGAGGTAGGGAAACTATGAAAGGTGGGCCTAGATGAGGTAAAGTAGGTCACTGTGACATGCACTTTGAAAGGTACATTTTGCCATAGCATTTCCTAACTTCTCTGCTTTCTGGCTACCCTGAGAAGAGCACCTTTCCTCCTCCATGTCCATATGCCATGTTTCAGTCCTACCCAACATCCACAGCAATGGAACCAGCTGACTACAGACTGAAATCTCTGAAAAATGTGAGCCAAAATAAATCTTTCCTCCTTTGTTTCTTTCAGGCATTTGCCACTGAAATGAAAAACATAATACCTCTCCTATACCACAGAGAAGCTATCTTAAAATCTTTTAGCAATGAGTGAATAAAAATATAGCCTTCTCGTGGAATATAATAGATAATAAAATGTTAGAGAATACTGAATACAGAATTGAGTAAGATGGAAAGGTTAAGTATAAAGCAAAGTCTAAAAACAACCATTCCCTTTTGTGTATATATGTGCTAGTTACTATATACTTAACAACCCTAACACAATTTTTGTATGAAAACACACAAGCACAGAAAAATGTACTAGGTACTCTTATTATTTTTGGAAGGGGATCTCACTTGTTGCTCAGAATGATTTCAGAAGCTGGGATTACAGCCACCATACCACTGTAAATGAACTTGTACTAAGTAGTGGGTTATGTATATTCATTTTATTTCTTTCACTTGTAATTTTTTCTTGTGATATGGGTCTAATACATGCTAGGCAAAGGTTTTATCACTACGCTACATTCTTAGTACTCTGTATTTTCAGCATATTATACAGGAAGCAGTTGTCTGTTTTTGTTGAGAAAAACTTTTTTGTTTCAGATAAGGTCTCACTGTAACTCAGACTGGCCTTAAACACTGTATCAGTCTCCCCAGTACTGCAATCACAGACATAATTTCAAGAAGACAACCACACAGAAAACTGTGCTTGGAGCCATTTTTTTCAAATATGTTTTCCTGTTTGTTTTTTTTAAAAACAAAACTTTAGTTTATTACATGCATTACCTTTCCTTTAAGAAACTTCCAGTCAGGCAGGCAGGAGATGCAAATATCTCTCGAATTTCCCTACATTAGGAGTAAATTGTTAATAAATCAAGTAATACTGTGAAATGTGAAATCAGAAACACAACAAAATTATTAAAAATAGAGCCAAACATTAAAGGCAGAACCCCTCTGCAGGGGGAAACTCCTGGTCAAATGACCAGTAGTCAGCCTAAGCCTTTTCCATTCTTGCTAAAAAGCAACAGAACATCTCTCCCTCACTCAAGTTTACCAAGCTGGCAGCTTTGCAGTTTACCACAAACTTTGCTGAAGGCCACTGACAATCTTGAGATTTATCACCAGCTGTATTGAGTTGTTATATTAGTCAGGAATTTATAATAAAAATAATTTCTGTAAAATAGACTACCTCTACCCAAGGGTGTTTTGACTTTTGTAATCCAAGGATATGTTTTGACTTTTGTAACCAAGTATCAATAGTATCAATAGTACTGATCATGCTGACCAAATCAAGACTATGTTTTGCTTCTGTAAACCTGCTTGCTTGCCTTGACACCCCTCCCACCCTCATGTGGCTTTTCTTTAAAAGATCACCATGGGAAAAAGACCTCACTGTATCCTATCACCCAAATAGTGGGGTGTAGTCACCATGTGGCTAATAAAAAAGACTCCTTGCCCTGTTTAACTGAGCAGGTGGCCTTATTTCCAGATTTGGGATTCTTCAATACAGCATACTTCTTTATAGAACAAATATGATAAACAGAACATGTTATAATTGTCTTTCAAACTTCTTCCTTTCTCTTCTACTTGTCTGCATAATGTCTTGACATTGAAAAGTCTGCTCTACTTGCTAAATCTCAAAATGTCAATGCCAAACAAAAAGGTATAGACTCAAAGATGACCCAGAAAAGAGAAAAAGACCTGATTGATTTAGGGTCAGAAATTCCTTGGACAAAGTAAACAGTGCCACCATACCTAACTTCTGAAGACTTATTTATTTGTTTCATGAAAGTGGTAACAAAAGAAATTGCCATAAATTAATGACATGTGCATACATTCAGTTTCATTTTAAAAACAATGTAACTTTACAGGAATGCCCCTTGATCATTCATGTTCTGTACATTATATGACCATCTTAACAAGTATTTTTCAGAGTTAAAAGGCCATATTTAAAGATATCTCTAAAAATGATGCTTGTAAAAATGACTACCCTCTTTCAATGTGGTAGGAGTTTCATGGTATAGACCAAGACACCCTTTCAAATGCTCGGCTAAATTATAAGTGTAAAAAAAGTGGTTTCAGGGCCAAACAAGGCTAATAAACACCACAGAATGCATTTTCTGTTCAAATTCACAACATTGTAAACATATTAAAGCCCAAAGAAGTCCTTCAAATAAAGGAAGTTGTCCTCAGGGAGCTTCCACTTTAGTTGTGATGATTAATAGTAGGTGTCAACTTGGCTAGACTAGAGTACACAGATACTTGGTCTCATTATTGTTCTAAGAGAGTACTTTTTAGATGAGATTAGTATCTAAAGTAGCAGATTTGAAGTAAGCTAGATTGCCCTCTGTAATGTGGGTGGATCAAATCTAATCACTTTCAAGCTTTAAAAGAAAAAATGTTACCCAAGAAAAAGGAATTCTGTCTTCATACTATGTTTGGACTCAAAGTGTTCTTTCTGGCTTCTCCAGCCTAGCTCCATTATACAGACTTTAGACTTGTCAGCCCCACAATTACACAAGCCAATACACAGTAACAACAGTAACATAAAATAAGAAATAAAAAATAATTTATGTCTACATCCATAGGTATAGCTCCCTATTTGGTTCTGTTATAGCTATCCTAATGGCTCTGTTCTTGGAAAGCCCTGATTAGTACAATACACTAGAAGAAAACCAAATCTCATGTCTTGAGTGTGCAGAACCAGTAAAGAAAATGTTGCTTTAACAATAAGTAAGTTAATAAGGGGTATACATACCTTTTTGTATTCTGCCACTGTTTAGTTCCTACATCTGCAATCCATCTCTTTGGAGTCCCTTCATTCAATGTAAGAATTTTTCTTCTCAGATTTACATAGGAATTCTGTAAATAATTAAAACAGTTCGATAATTTGAAGACATCCAAAAATATATTCAATTTTAGGCACATCTTATAAAGAGTAACACTGATTATTTTTTAATAAGATCTCAGTATGTAGCCCAGGCTGGTCTGAGTCTCTTAGCCTCTAGTGATCCTCCGTCCTAAGTGCTGTGATTACTAGCACATTATCACTATGTCAGACTAACTTTTAAATGTAGAAAATATTGCTCTCTGAACAATCATAAAGGAAGGACTCTAGCAAGAAATTTCCAGTGTTTTTGTCTGGTTGACATTTCTTGCCAAAGACTTGGAAACTAAATCAGAGAAATCTGTCTCAGTGTCCCCATACTCAACCAAGTTAAATAAACTGACAATTACCTATGTTAAGTGGGAAGAACTTGGTTTCTCTTGGTAAAGTGACACAGAAATCATAGATTAATTCTTAAGCCTATGAACAGGTTTTTTAAATACTGTACTGGTTAACATTCTTTAGAATATGTCATCTCACTAGGACACTAATCTGCAGTACTGGCAAGGAGCTTCCTCAGAGGGTAGGTAATCTTTAGAAAACCAATTGATTCAATAGCAACCATGAGTGAACCTGTTGATTTTTGTAGTAAACATGGAATTAGTTTAGGCAATAAGGGATTAATATCTACATATTCCCCTAAAAGTCAGCCTGGTAACTAAACAATTTTCAAGTTCAGTAAACCTGAATTCTAGACTACATCTGCCAAAATTACAAAATTATTCATGGAGAAACCTATTTTTTACCTCTTTTTCCATCCACAGCAAAATGCTTTGGTTCCCTCCAGCAATCATTATCAGTTCCTTTCCTGAATTGTGATATTCTGAAAGGAATGTGTACAATTTAAGATTTCTAACAATTAAGTAGATACTATGTACTACAGGGTACAATCTGATTGAAAAACACAGGTGATTCACAAGATTGACATGTGGAATCACTTCAAAATGCACAATTTGTAAAAAATGCTTATATACCTCTATCATAAATACTGAATTAACTTGACTAATTTAATTCCATTTCCATTCTTTAAACAACTATCTCGTTTAAATAGGGATACAGGTGGTGGACCCATTGCAACAATGAGATATACAAGTTGTTATGTTGAAAAATGAACTTTACAACTTTGGGCGGAGGGGGGGGTGGGAGAGGGAGAGAGATGGGAAAAAAAAGAAAACCATTTCAAGATTTAACCAATAACTGTTGCCTGCAAAGAATATGAACATGTCCAGTTATATAACATGAAGAAAGCAAAGATTTAACACATGAAGTAATTTAAAAAAAAAACTCCTTCCAGAAAAATGAGAGAATTCTAATTCTAAGTTTACAGTATTCCAAGGCATTCCTTCTGTGTAGAGCACTTAAAAGCTCAGACTCTGGTTTTCACTGAGCATGGTTTAATTTTAGACCAACCACTTACTTCTTGGCTTTGATTTAGTAGCTATTTTGCTTTCAAGTCTATTTCCTCCAGTAAAATGGGATGACAGAATAACCAATACAAGGATTACACAGTAAAACGCACAGTTCTAGTGCTCTAGCTCTGTCAGCTGCTCAGCATTCTGAGGGTTCCACAGGATTATGGATCACACAGGAAAGAGAGTCAATTACTTTGAGTTTGTAAACCTCTTACAGTTTCAGTATATATACTCCATATAGTCTGTTTTATTTCCACTCAAGTTGACATTAATCCTGAGGAAAGTAACAGTTCTGACACCACAACTTACACTGACTCTTTTAACTTATAAACACATAAAGTCAATGTTCAGAAAAAGTCCCTCCAGACTTCCTGCTTTCCCTACTGCACTACTTAAAAGATAATACTTTCTCTAACAATGTATTACTTCAAATCCTGTGAGCCTACAGAATTTACCCAGTTTGAGTTGTTCATTTGATGCCAATTTCATGGGAAGTGGTATCAGTTGATTATGTTTTCCATCATTTCCTAATTGTCCTTCTTTCCCAAAACCAAAGGAAAAAACTTTTCCCACATCAGAAACGTAGGCAAGTGTGTGCCACCTATTAAATAAAGCACATACCATCAATGCTACAATGACAAGAGTATTTAGTGATACAGTAAATCGCTCAAATCAGGTTACCAAGTTATTGTGAAACTAAGTCTCCAGGGTTAAAGCCATCTGGAAACCAAATAATCACCAATATGTGGCTGAGAAAACTTAAGAGACCCTACATCCACTCAAGATCATGGTATCATGTTTTATTAGCAGGGTAGTCCCTTCATTGGCATCAAGTACTTTGCCTGGGCTGCTACTGCTCTTTTTAGCCTCAACTCGAGAATACCCACTGGAAAGCAATCTCTAAATCCTCCTCAACCCATCCTAGTAGATTGAATCACTTGACCTTTGATCTCTCAATCTATTTCCCAAAGATGTTTATCATGCTGATTTTCTTACTGATTTCCTCAGTGGATCTCTCCTGCCAAGGGTATACAGCAAGGAATTTTGCCTTGCTCAAAGACCAAGTCTGTCCTTGTCCCAGTCAGGGAGGTAACCTCAAAAATCTTCAATTTCCCAAATGCCTTTGGCCCTAGGACCCTCTGCTGGGTGGCTCATGGAGAGCTCTTATGGCCTGCTAAATAAGCCAGAGCAACAGAAGGGAAGGGCTAGAGTCTGAGCTCAACAATCTGGTAATGATTTAATCCATTATGCCTATGAACCAAATAAAAACTCTAGGCTTAGGTAAACTTCCTTGGCTGACAATACTCATGGTGTATCAAGCAACAGTTCAGAAAATGTTAACACTATCCAACTGCTTCAAAAGGACTTCTCCTAGACTCTTTGCTCCATTCTCTTCATTACTAATTAGTATACATTTTTAACTAATAAATGTGACTAAGTATATCAGCTTCCAGAGTAAATGCTCTTGTGACTACACTAAGGAATCTAACTTGGTTCTTAGCAAATATGTTACTCAAAGGGTACAGTTAAGAAGAACTGAGTCAAAGGGACATTTCTTTGATTAGGGTATTAAATCAGAGAGAGCTCAAGAAGACATCTCTTTGGTTAAGAAAAGCTTACCCCAAGAGTTTGGTCTATGTTAGTATTTCCCTTTATGTAATTTTCCTCCAGTATCCTAAGGGAGTATGTCTATAATGGACTGAAAATAGGTATGATGATTTTTCATTAAGTTCAAAAACAAATATCTACGAGTCTCAATTTGCTCATATTTATGAAGAAAAAATACCCAAATTAAGCATCAATAGGTAAAAATACTTATTCCCACAAAGGTCAAACATTCCACAGCCAGAAGTAAACTGATGAATCTGATGATCAAAGAAAGTAATTAAGCAAACTAGTAAGTCTGGGCAAGATTTTTTGCCTTTATTTTTAACATAAGCTGTGAAACCCCAAATTCTCAGGAATATTCCATTCAAAAAGCCACCAAGAAAATCTGAAATAACCATTGCCTAGTATAATTTGGCTCCCATTACAATAAATAGTTTAAATATCTAGGTAACTAAAACACTTGCCACTCAATGGGTTATTTAGAGGGAGTTACACTAATAAATAGTACTTTCTGGCTTATGTTCATTTTTTCTAAATATTTTTTGTGTGTGTTGGTCCTGGGACTTGAACTCAGGGCCTGGGTATATCTTTGAGCTTTATGCTCAGGGCTAGCTATCTACCACTTGAGCCACAATGCTACTTCCAGCTTTTTTGGTAGCTAATTGGAAATAAAGAGTCTTACAAATTTTCCTGCTCAGGTTGCCCTCAAATCAAGATCATCAGATCTCAACCACTTGAACAGTTAGGATTACAGGCCACTATCACCAGGATTACTAAATAAACTTTAAAAATGACTTATTTTCCTTCAAGATGAACATGTACCTGAACAGTTTACAAAAAGCATTTTACTCAAGAGGCAACAGAGTAAACTATACAGAACAGCTGGAGTGTAGCTCAAATGTTATTGCATATGCTCAGAATGAATGAAGCTCTGGGTCTGATCTTAAGCAACATACACAAACAAATACAAATGAAAGAAAACAAATACATATACTAAAAGATGCATTATGCTTAGTAACGGGAACTAAACAACATTTGAAAATGTTTATTTTATCTAAAAAATCAATAGCAATTTTATTCACTCATTGCATTCATTTTTATCAGTTTTCCTTTATACTTTACAACTTACCTTCCACAAACTATTTGAGTCACTCTATGTCCATGGAGCTCAGTTACCAAACAAGGACTCAACTTATTCTGTGTTGAATTGTGACCAAGCTGCCCATATTTTCCAGCACCAAAAGTAAACAGCAGCCCATCCTAAGAACAGAACCTCATATTAGATGCTATAGAAATGCAGTATGAAGTCACATTCGCTAATGCTTCTCATTGGTGAATAGTTAAAACAAGCCACCTTGGAAGTAAAGCTCCTAGGTAACTAGGACAGACCTATTACAGATAGGAAACACTAACTCACTACAGGAAGCACTCTTCCAGAAATACCGTCAGGAGAGACAAGGATACACCCACCTGAGTAAGCAGGGCAGTATGAGAGCCACCACAAGCAACAAATTCAACTTTCTGATTGTCTACTGCTTCAATAAGAGAAGGAAAATCTTTGTCTGTACAGGGAAAAAATAGCTGAAGTGACCAAAAGGAAGAGCTGAGTTTTAGCCTGGATTTGTCTGTTATTACTTTTCTACCTAGCAAAAACAGCTCCCATCCCATTTTAACCAGAAGAGCTCTTTGTTGGCATTATTGAAGTCCAAATCCTAAACCTAAAAGGTGAGGGTGGGAGAGTGGTTAATAGGATCACACTTGCAGGCCTAGACCTGCAAGATGTAAGGCTACTTCCCAACTTTTCAACACACCTGCAACTTTGCAGCACAACTGTTATTGATATGCATAGTTGTACATATAATGTAATATATTTACTTATTTACTTTGGTGGAAAGAACTGCGGACTTTGGGCCTTCTCAGCAAGTGTTCTAACAGTTTACTACATCCTCACTTTAGAATTACTTTTGGTGAGCACAAATGGTCTCTTTTTCTTGTAAAATTCTCTACTATAGTATCTTCATACTGTCTTATTCTTTTTCTTGTGAAAAACACTCTGAGATTTAGTGAAAATAATGATATTCCTCTACTCTTAGCCCTTCTAATGAGTTACTTGGAACCATGAGAAACTTTGTCACAAGCCTGACAGAGGTATTTCAGACTTGGAAGTTACTTTTATTCTGTGTGCATATATACACAAACACATGCACACTTAATTGATGCCTTCTGAAATAATATTGGATCCTACCTATTCAGGAGGCAGAGATCTGAGGATTGAGGCTCAAAGCCAGCATGGGCAGGAAAGTCCCTGAGACTCTCATCTCCAATTATCCACGAGAAAACTGAAGTGGTGCTGTGACTCAAAGAAGTAGTATGCTAATGTTCAGTGAAAAAGCTCAAAGACAGCACCCAGGCCGAGTTCAAGCCCCAAGCCCCATGACCAATGAAAATTTTAAAAAGATTGGAATATTATGAGTTTCACACAATTTTAGTATTCTTTTGTAATAATTAACTGACATAATGCAATATAATAGGAATGTTAGGAGGTCAAACTATAAGGAAATAAGGTCTAAAGGAAGTGACAGACAAGGTGCCATTATGTCATAAGGTAACACTGCAAAGTCAGAAGCAGAACCTAGGTCTTACATTCCCTAATTAAGTGGCCTTTTTTACCCCCACACAGTCCCAAAACTCATCTTCTATAGTCAGATACTACACTTTGCATGTCTTGGGGACAATTCTACCTGAAGCCAAGGTAAATTACCAAGAATAGTACAAAGTGAGGGTTTGAGCCATTTATGACAAGGCCTATGTTCATCTTTCATCTAACAACTATATTTGATAACATAAAGTTGAAAATTGTTCCATACTCTTGGTGTGGCCCAGGCCTAGTTGTCCAAAATCATTTTTTCCCCATGAGTAGATGTTTCCAGACATGGACAAAGCCATGCTGTGTGCTTCTCCTGCAGAAATCTGAATCAAGGGGACTCCTGCAAGATGCTCCACAATCTGTGGTGTGGGAGATGAGGACAATGTCTTTCCAACTCCTAGCTGGCCGTATAAGTTCTGTCCCCACGAAAAAAGCTCACCACCTTAACATAAACAAAGAAAACTGTGTTACTAAATTTATTATGAAGTAGACATTACATTATCCTAGGACATCATCCACAGGACATATGGTGTACCACTCACAATTAATAGAATTTTTTTTCTTTTTTTTTTCTTTGTCAGTTGTGGGGCTTGAATTCTGGGCCTGGGCACTGTGTCTCTCAGCTCTTCAAGGCTAGAGCTCTACCACTTGAACCACAGCGCCACTTCCAATAGAAAAAAATTTTAAAAACCTTTTCTCAAGGAGTTAGCTTCCTTTTCCTTCATCTATCTCCAGGAGTAAAATGAAACTACTTGAATATACTTTACTCAAATTCAAGAACTAGTTAATTTTTAAAAACTCCAAAAATTTGGTTAATAAGAAACAGAAATGTCTACCACTGAGAAAACAAAATCTGCAAACTAGTAATCTCTCTGTCTCCCTCCCTTTTGCATACTTAAGCTCCACATAAATACCTTTAAATTTTCACTTAGAAACAAGTGGGAGAGCTCATCCCTGTAGTCAACTACTCAGGAAGTTGAGGTGGGACAACCAATTGAACCCATTACTTGGGGACTAGTCTGGGCAGCAACATGGTATAATCCTGTTTCAAAGAAAAACTTCACTTGAAATTACAATACAGTATCTTCAAACATACTTCTTTTATTAATTGGATATATGGAATGTTTTTAAAGCAAGGTTTTAGACATTTACCTAGTAGAATTTCAATATGCATTAGAGTCTAAAAAAAAAACTATGAGAGTATTATGAAACCTTTCTCATTTGTCTAATTTTTTTTTTTTGTGGTCAGTCATAGGGCTTGAACTCTGGGCTTAGACACTGTCCCTGCACTCTTCAGCTCAAAGCTAGTAGTATACCACTTGAGCCACAGCTCCACTTCCAGTTTTCTGGTGGTTAATTGGAGATAAGAGTCTCAGACTTTCCTGCCCAGGCTAGCTTTGAACCACGATCCTCAAATCTCAGCCTCCTGAGTAGCAAGGACGATAGATATGAGCCACTGACACCCAGCTCATTTGTCTAATTTTTATTCTACCTATATTATGATTTGCCAAAAGTATTTTTTAAATTTTTTAGTAAGTTTTTTATTGTGAAAATATTGTACAGAGGGGTTAGAGTTACATGAGCAAGGCTCCTGTTTTTCCCCTACCATCTGTTCCCTTCTACCCCCTCAACTACACTCCCGCCTCCCCCGCCTAAATTATAAAGTTCCATTTTTTTTTTTGGTCGGTGGTGGGGCTTGAACTCTGCGCCTGGGCGCTGTCCTTCAGCTCCTCAGCTCAAGGCTAGCACTCTACCACATGAGCTACAGCGCCACATCCGGTTTTCTGGTGGTTTATTGGAGATAACAGTTTCATGGACTTTCCTGCACAGACTGGCTTTGAACTGTAATCCTTAGATCTCAGGCTTCTGAGTAGCTAGGATTACAGGCATGAGCCACCAGAGCCCAGCTGTAAAGTTCATTTTTTGACATAGCGTCTTGTACATCTCATTGCGCAATGGGTCAACCTGTATCCCTATTTAAACAATTTGTTTTTTCCCTTCCCCTCCCCAAATTATACCAACATCAAATACAGTGAAAACAAGGGTTATACCATGGGGGAGAGACATACAAAGCAACAACAAAAAAATCACATGGTACCTTATAAATATGTTAGAAACAATAGCAAGGAAGAAAAAACTATTTTTTGAGTCAGGTTTCCCTATGTAGCTCAGGCTGTCCTCAATTTCAGACAATTAAATTACAGGTATAGAACAGACCATCAGATTTACTAATAAATCTGGTATCCTCTTCCCTTTGCAAGTGCACATACTCATACATACACGCACGCATGCACGCACACACACACGCACACACACATCACTAGATTTCTTGAAGATAGTTTGCTTCATCATTATAATTTGATCATTATAATTTGATCCTATTTAATATGAAATATGAATAGAACAGATCAAATAAACATTTTTTCCAGTACAAATTCATATTCTTTTTTTTGGGGGGGGTCCAGTCGTGGGGCCTGAACTCTGGGCTTGGGCACTATCCCTCAGCTCTTCAGCTCAAGGCTAGGCTCTACCACTTGAGCCACAGCGCCACTTCCGGCTTTTTTCTTTTTGCTTATGTGGTGCTGAGGAATCAAACCCAGGGCCTCAGGCATGCAAGGCAAGCGCTCTACCACTGAGCCACCTTCCCAGTCCCCAAATTCATATTCTTAAACCTCAGTAGTCTTCAGCAAATAATGTCTTGGAATCATCACAGCTTCCACTCAATTTATAAACATTTGTTCTATATAAAAACCCTCTTGAATCTGAATTTCACTCTTATCATCTCCTGTTTTTATCATTCTTCTTCAGTTACTTCAAGCACTCACGGGAGTGAAAATGGTATAAGGAAAAGGGAAGGCAGCTGTGGGAAAGAATGGTCCAGGCCTGGACTGGATTCCAGAAGAAATTATTTTGAGCCAGGAAAGTGTTAATATCAGTAAATCTTAACTACTTGGGAGGCTAAGCCAAGAGTATCTCAGCTACTTGGAAGTTAATATAATTCCTTGTGTCTGGGCAGCAAAACAAGACATCATCTCAAACACATCTCAAGCAAAAAATGGTTTTTAAAAAATGTTCACTGTTTCAATTCAAAAAGTAAAAGTCAAGCTGAGCACTGGGGTTCATGCCTATCCTTGTTATTACTTAGGAAGTTGAGATTTGAGAATGGAGGTTGTTCAAAACCAGCCCAGACAAACAAATTTGAAACTCTTATCTCCAATTAACTCACAAAAAGGTCAAACTGGAGGCACAGCTCAGGTGGTAGAGGGCCAGTAGTAAGCCACAAGAGTAGCCTGAGTTCAAGCCCCAGTACCAGGACCAACCACAAGGAAAACAAAAATATGGAACAAAATACACAAATAGTTAACTATAGAAATCAGATGGCTCTACATATACATATATTTACTACCATACCCCCCCTCCAGAGTGTTTTTTGTTTGGACAGAGGGTCTTACTATGCAGTCCAGATCTCTTAGAACTCACAGGCCAGCACCAGCTGGCCTGGAACTCAAGATCCTCCTGCTTCAGCCTCCATGGCACTGGAATTATAGTTATGTCATCAATTACTACTAAATAACTACTATTTCAGAGAAGTACCTTTAGAAAGTGCAAGAGAATGATAATCTCCACAGGCAATCTGAATTATACTTTTTTCTTGTAAAATGCTTTGAAACCTGATGAGAGAAGATGATAGAACTATTAGCGTTATTTATATAAAAATGAAGCTCAAGAAAAAGCCTTTAAACTTATTGCTTCACATTCAGTATAAAAACTGTAAGAACGACTTAAATAGTTTAAGAAAAAATGAGAATTGTATAATACTAAGAGAATTCTAATAGTCTTGTAGCAATAATTTTATGATGCAGGAATAAATGCAAGTTGAAATACATTCTAATTCTAGCGGTCTACTAGAATAGTCTCAAAAAATATTCCACATGAATATTTTTCCTAGTTTGAAAACTTTATTATACAATTACAGAATTATAAACATCAAATTCAACCTGAGATTTGACATTCTAATCAATCATTTAAATGTCCAAAGTATGCAATTTCAATCCCATTATCATGGGTAGCCATGTATTACATATACACAACATAGTCATGGTTCATGTGTGACAGGCAGCAGGCATGGAACTTGCTAGCCAGTTGAAAATTTATCACTTAAGATACAAGATAGAGTAACGGACAAGAATCAGACAAGTAGCATTTTCCTATAAAACAATTTGCCTTTTGAGTAAAACTAGTCACACTTAATGTCAGAAAAAATTCCCCACCTTGCATGTTCTAGGCTGTAGTTGTACTCAAAGGGTTTTCCATCGGAGGATAAAACCAGCAGATGTTCCACTCCTTGGTCCATGGAATGTATCTTCATTTTTTTCCCTAATTTAATGAACCCTGCAGAACAAATCCAACCAGTAACTACCTCACTCTGGTTAATAACTAGTATTACTGATTCATCTTACTATACTTTAAATATCTGGAAGGAGAAACTTTAACATGCGTAGTTTAAGAAAATGCAAGTTCTCAAAGTAAGTAGGAATGCCAGCTGTCTTATAGAGACTTTCTTACATGACAAAGCAGTGATTGTTTTAAATGGAACACCCTGAAATAGCTAAACATCTGCTCTTAAATCCTTGCTTACTAAGAGAAACTAAATCTGACGTGGCAAGTGGAGAAGTCTGAGAAAATCTCACTTTATTCATTACAACAACAAATGCATTGTGGTTTTAGAGGCATACTCTATCCACAAACTAAACAAAAAGCAAGCACTTCCATATTGCTGCCAATAAAACCAATGGCCATATTCTTAACAGAAGAATTGTTTGGGGGACTATGGAGATGAGGTGAAAGAATTTTCATTGCATTAGCACATATTTAGCCCTTTCCAAAACCTAGATTTAAAACTGCTCAGTAGTTACCATTTAATCTCCTTTAACTTGTTCACAAAAATTAAACTAGTTTGGTGACCATGTTTACTCTTTGCTCTAACAAAATATATTATTCAAAAATCTCAAAGTAAAAGCCACACTATAAATAAAAGGGGGTGAGGAGAAAACAGAATTTGTTAAGAGGAGATGATGCAGCAGATTAATCAATTCTAATCAACTGAAAAAGCGTATTCAATAAACAGTACTGGCACATCCATCCAGGTGCTTGGAAGCAACTCCGGCCCCACCTCCTTAAATCAATAAATTCCAGTCAATCTCCAGTGGCTCATGCCTGTAATCCTAGCTACTCAGGAGGCTGAGGTCTTAAATTCATGATTCAAAACCAGTAAGGGAAGGCAGAAAAGTCCCGTGAGAGACTTATTTGCAATTACACTCAAAAAAACGGAAGTGGTGCTGTGGCTCTAGTGGTAGAGCGCCAGCCTTGAGCACAAAGAGGCTCAGGGACAGCACCCAGGCCCTGAGTTCATGCCTACAACCGACAAAAAAAAAGAAAAAAAAATCTAAGCGTACCAAGTAACTTTAGAAACTGCTGGAGGTGTGTCTCAAGTGGTTATGTCCAAGTCCCGCAAGCAAGTATTAGCAAATGAGACCAAACCCCAGTACCACAAAAAAGAAAAACCCATAAAAAGGTCCGTATATTTAAATAACCTTGGAGCGTTGATAACTTCTTAACCCAAAACAAAACCCATTAAACCTCTTGAAACACTAAACATTTAAATCGTGCGTATAAAAAAAGGGAAAAAATGACCACGCGTATGCTGGGCCAAAGGCTATTTTTTATTAAGTTGAATAAGTGTTGGGCATGCAAATAACGTTAACTCTATTGTTTAAAAAGTTGAGACAAAAGGATGATGAGGCAGTTTGTCCACTAAGGACAACAGAGAAAACGAAAGACGCTAACATCCCTGAATTTGTGCGTGTGCATGCATGCGTGTGTGTGCCCCACCCGTGTCTTGAACTCAGGGCTTGGTCACCGTCTTTAGATTCCCCGCCCCCCCCCCCTTCCCAATCTCAATCCCAATCCTTCCCACCCCCCCCTCCCCCCCCCGCGCTCAAGGCTAGCGGTCCACCACCAGTGCCAACTTCCGGCTTGACTCCAGAACTTTCCTTCCAGAGCTGGCTCCGAATCTTCCAACCTCAGTCCTCAGATCTCGAGTCTTCCCTCAGTAGCTTGGACTACAGACTGGGGACACGAGCCCCCGGGCCTAACTTCCCTAAGTTCAATGCAAAAACACAAGAGCAGGTGGCGTTTTCCTGACTGCGCCCCACCCCCCGCGGCGTCGAGGCCTAGACCGCGGGGGGGTGGGGGAGGGGGGCGGCCAGGCTCTCACCCCGAGACGACCCCGGGCCTAACGGCTCACAACCCAGGCCGATGGGAAAGGAAGCGCAGCCAGGACGGCGAGGGCCGTCAGAGGGTGCAATGGTGGGCCCCATCCTTGCAACTCGGGAGCCCAGCCGTGACGGAGATGAAGGGAAGGAAGCGCGGGCGCCGCTCG